TTACTTTCTCTCTGAACTCTTGTCAGTATGTGTATTACATGTCAATAGTTTCGGTGTTAAATATGGAACATCAAATATTCTTTTGACATTAGTCCCATGATTATTTAAAAATTATTAATTAGGTGACGACTGCGAAGTTGTAATATTCATTTTATTTATCTACATATTATCTTATATACTTTGCATCGTACTATATATCATACTAGTGTTTCTCATTAAACTGTCAAATGTCAAACAAAACTTTTCACGTATATACTGAATTAAGTAATAAATAATATAATAACAATTAAAAAATAAAGATTAAATAATAAAGAAAAGTAAAAGAGAAAAAGATATCAGGTGTTCAAAAAATCATTAACATACTCGACTCGTCATTAAATTAAATCAATTTTATTTATGAACATACATAGACATATATACTATCAGATGTAATAATCACTATAATAACATACCAATCACAAAATTTATTAGAAATTGTAAACAGAAAAATTAGGGTAAGATTTGTTGGCTCGCGCGGGGCCGCATTTAAATGTAGTCAAGCTGTTGGCTTCAGAATTTGTGTAATTCGTGTAAATTTGTGAAACTAAATGGCACGTGAGGTAAACTCGTGTAAACTTGTAAACGCGATTGATGGACGGTAATTTGTGTGAATTAAAGTTTATTAAAGTTTAGTCACGAAATTGATTAATATTGTTTGAATGACATGTCAGTTGTAAATTCTCGTTCGTTGAATGCACTGGGGGTGTATAAAATTATTCCAATAGGAAATTTCTTGCAGTCAGATTCTTTTCAACTTGGAAATATTATTTGAGAATAATGTAAGAGCGAATATAAATGAAAGCATAACGAAGGAATAAAATATAATAGAAATGAGAATTTATTTAGTGTCACCTTTAATCTGGGCCTTATTTGCTATGACGTACAAGCTAGTATGAATTTCTAATATGTACTTAGATTATTTTAGAACAATATATGTGTGAGAGTATATTGCTTTGTAATTCGTATACATCATTACAAAATAATAGCAATAATAAAAAGAATATTTATTATTACCGTCAATTTGGGGCCTCAGAAGTCTCTAGTATTATAATTTCTTTGATGAAACTTAAATGCAAGAATAAATCGTTCCAAACTTCTCATATATTAATTAAATCATTAAATGTTAAATATATTCTAATAATTTTCAATATTATTAATATATATATAAATACATATTTACAATTAATTGAGCTTTGCTTATATGCATAACGCAAAAGGTATAGGAATTCAATTGTCAAGAATCTTATTGAAGACGAAATTTGTTTAATTTCCTGAAAACAACAATTTGTAATATTTATTTTCAACGAGATTATCGTTACGTTGATGACCATTTTTTATTAAGTAATCTGTATTTTCCACTCACCTCAAAGCTCCAGTCTCGTCGGTTATTTTTATCTTATCGATAGATGCTAAGTTTATCTACGTAAAGAAATTAATTCTTCACGTTGTTACATTCATAAATTATAATTTCCATTAGCCATTGCACTTCGTTGTAAATGTGTAGCTCAATTTAAAATTTGCATGTAGATAAAGGATCACTTAGTCTGTTCTGCCATTGTACATATGTGTAATAATACCTTTCTTCTGCCTTATATACTTAGACTTCATTATGCACAACAAATAAATAGTTAATAACTATAAATGCTAGTTTTTCCTCATTTTTATTACGATATTTTGGCTCCATTTGGCAAGTACTATTTACTCCTGAAAATATAAATCCTTTCTTTTCCGACACTGTGTATACCTACGTATCTTTATTCTACCACTTTAATTAACATCACGTACGTGTATTGTATTTTGACACACTTGGTGATAAAAGTTAAGAAACAAAGCAACAATTTGCGAATTTTTGCATATCCAGTTTTTATCTTCTGAGATACATAAATTCGAATTAAGAACAAATTTTATACTTAAAAATAAACAATGTATATTATTGTATAAGACGACATCTTAAAATTCTATTTCTAATTTGAATTTGTGTATCTTAGAAGATAAGAAGTACACAAAAATTTGCAAATAATTACTTTCTCTCTGAACTCTTGTCAGTATGTGTATTACATGTCAATAGTTTCGGTGTTAAATATGGAACATCAAATATTCTTTTGACATTAGTCCCATGATTATTTAAAAATTATTAATTAGGTGACGACTGCGAAGTTGTAATATTCATTTTATTTATCTACATATTATCTTATATACTTTGCATCGTACTATATATCATACTAGTGTTTCTCATTAAACTGTCAAATGTCAAACAAAACTTTTCACGTATATACTGAATTAAGTAATAAATAATATAATAACAATTAAAAAATAAAGATTAAATAATAAAGAAAAGTAAAAGAGAAAAAGATATCAGGTGTTCAAAAAATCATTAACATACTCGACTCGTCATTAAATTAAATCAATTTTATTTATGAACATACATAGACATATATACTATCAGATGTAATAATCACTATAATAACATACCAATCACAAAATTTATTAGAAATTGTAAACAGAAAAATTGACTTCCCATTTTTTAAATATTCAAAGATATTACACCTAATTTTTAAAAAATTCACGACAAATTTAAAAATAAAAATAATATCGTAAAATAATAAAAATATTGAATAAAATTCCTAAAATTTTTCGAAGCAGTAAATCACACAAGGTTGATAGAAAATTTCTACCATAATTCATATTGGAACAAAATCGGCGGCTAATGTAATAAATATTATTTTCGTAAGTCCAGGTCGACATCCTAGACACTATATAACATTCTCCACCATCTTCCCGATGTATTCCCAATGGAATATCTCGCGATGTTCTGATATCTTGCTCAGGTTTCACAAAAGCATAGGAAAAAAGGAGAAAAACGCGATAAGAGTTTCATTCGTATCTGCAAGCAACGGAAATGTTTAGGTGTTTCCGTTTAAATGCTTTACTCCGTATGCCCAAGAGCTCGAAGTTGGCTAATTACTACTCGCGATATAATGGAAGGAGAAAAAAGAAAAAGCGAAAATGGGTTGGCGAAGAATTCCATCGTGGTGATAAAGCATGTGAAACAAATACGAAGTGACAGAAGATAAGAGTAAACAAATTCTGTTTGGGAATATCTTTATCAATTCTTTTTACAATTCCTCGATTATCGTCCCGGGTATTTGCGTAACAATTATGTTTCCAAATATTGTTATCGGTTTTTTTCTACCGTTCTTCAATTATTGCTTATCTTCCTAAAATGTATTTGTGTAACCTCCGCATTAATTCTAAAAATTTCCACGCTGAGTGACGAAGGATCGAAGAATGGCGGAGGATCGATACGTTTCGAGCTCTCGAAGCTTGGTTAATTAAAAAAACGGAGAGATGAACGATAGGGATGTTGAATTTTTCACGCGAGCGAAAATTTGCGAGGAAGTTCGCGTTACAGCTGGTGGAAGATAAGGAATTCGACCATGTAATAATATTTATAGGAATTGTGACATACAGGGTGAGTCATGGAGTTGGAATGGATTATATCTCGTTTATATTTGGTTAAGAAGAAAAAAAGGGAAAAAACATTGAAGAATGTCCATCTTCCTATGACATTAAATTTCTTTTTGTTTTATTAATATAATGATGCATTTTAATACACCTTCTCGGTTCAACGATATCTTTGTTTTTACTAAATTTTTCTTTACATGCACCAATTTTTTGATACATTATACGAATGAAAATATTGGCACGAGCTGATGGGAAAACCGATACCTAGTGAGATATTTCCAACTTTTTATGTGAAGTATCCTCCTCTGAAAATGTGTCTAAAATAATTTGATTTTTCGCGCGAAGCAGATAATGGTAATTTAGTATAAGTAACATAGAAATTATTTAAAAAATTATTAGTAAATATGTTTTTATATTAAATTATATATGAATGTAATTTATTAAAATTGCACTGTTTTTGTGTACTCCATATCTCAATATATGATTTGTTTGACATATGTAGAATTTAATTGTTTCATTACTTCTTTCATTAGATATTGATTTTCCTATCGAATTAACGTAATTAATTCTGTCAATTCAATGAATTTCTGATCAACCTAATTAAAAACCTATTTATTACACTTCGTTGTCACTCGTCGTATTTAATTTATCTTGTCGTTTTTAAAAATTGATCGCAATACGTTTTATTTTATTTCTCAAACTCGATTGATTGGTATTTTCAAAGTGTTCGAAGTATTCAAAAAATAAAAGAAATAGGAGATCAAATTAGGTAATTTAATCGAACGTTAATAATAAATACTGCTGTTCATAACTTTGAACGACAATATCTCGAAACTAAAAGCACGTGACATGCATGTTTCACGTATTCCTCACACGCACAGATCAGTCACCATATTTCAAAGAACGATATTACCAGTTATTGCTATAAAAATAATATTTCGGACTGAAATATTACAGTTTCCATAAAAAAAGACATGCAAATATCGACGAAAAATTTCGCATAATCCTCGAGCTGACAAGTGTACATATACAGAGAATTGCACACCCACACAGACGTCTGCTAAAAAATGAAGCAAAGACAGTGGCAGACGACACCTTGCACGATCGATCCCCTGGTCCCGACCATACTTCATTCTAGAACACCCAGAAGCCTTGTCATACATGGATACTCAGCACCTAACCTCCAACAAACCACCTCATGCATGTAACAAAATCAAATCAGTTGGCAAAGTTGGCTGAAAATCCACAGTGCGATCGGCAACTTTGCTACCGGCTGCCATACATTATTAACATGTACCCTCTCTATCAGCCGGAACAATCTTTCTCAATATTTCATGCGAAGTTCAAGGAATATTCTCGAACGTATGAAATTCGCCGGGAGTCGCGGAAGCAGAAACGCGAAATTATTCAAGAGTCGCCTATCAGAATCTCCACCCTAACCGGCTCCCTGTATACCAGGTAACCCAGCAACTGTCAAAGGACAGCTTCCGGCAAACATTCTGCCAAACTATCACACGAGCTTGCGCCTAAGTCACTCCCAGATGTATGTTCTCCAAGTCCATGTGCCTCCTTTCCTACCTGGTTCTCTTCTTTCAGGGGCTCCATCGATTCCACGCGAATATAAATGGCGTCTATTAACCCTTTGCACACGATGACCTTTGGCTAGAGGAGAGTAGAAATTCAAGGATTCTCTACTAAAAAGCTGACGATACTTTTTTGAGCAGTAAATAAAGAATTGTAGAATTATTTCATTTCGATGCCTCGCAAACTGTTACATCGCATTAAATTTGATATATTAATTAATATCGATCTTCCAAATTTTATGAAACGGTGACTGAAGCTCAGCTTTCTAGTGCAAAGGGTTAAGAGCAGATAGCTACGTGTAGGACCTGCTATGTGTAGTACCTTCGAATCAACGAATTTCAGATGTTTGTTATTGAAGTTTTACTATATACTAGGAGAAGTTACTGTTTGCCAAAGAATCCTAAGTTTATAACGATATTGCTGTGAATACTGTTTCGATTTATATGGAAAAGTTTCTGCACCCAGTGTTGTCATAGTTCTGTTCTATTTGCTGAGATTATGCAAAAGTTTGCATATTCTTCGTAATCCTTTGTAATTTTTATCGAGATAGGTTGCTGGATATCGTAATTTATTACATCTATGACGAAAGAATGGGAATTTATTATAAATTTTTGTGAAATTATTCGGTCCCTAAGAGGTTCATTATGTGGAACTGTTGACCTGTCAAGTTTTTCGGTATAAAGTGCTTGTTTAGGTAGGAAATGAGTACTCTATAGAAGTAAATTTGAAATAACTTTCCAGGTCAAGGACATTTATCGACATACTACGAGATAAAGTAGCAAAATCTATGATTTTCAGCGGGTCTTGAGACGAACGTATTGCATGTAAATTATACGTGTCCATATAGTGTGTTTTTCTTAGTAATATGAAAGAAGATGAACCGCAATTTACGTTTTTTAGTAAAAAGTTTACTTATTTATGTAAGAAGTGGATGAGCACATGAACGAGGTTCCTTTTTCGAGAATGAAATTATTTCTTACCAACCTTTTCACCATATCTTCCTCAGCGATATGAACCCTCCATTTACCAAACCGATTAATTCTGCCAAACAGAAAATAGAAATTTATATTAAATATAAAAAGTTAAACATAAACCAAGTCCTTTGACACTTAAATACAAATAAAAATTTTAAAAATGGAATTAATCACTTTAGCTTGATTCACATATCACTAACCTTCTCTAGTAAAATCAAATTTAACCAATCCATTCCTTTTGATATGATATACTACGTCAAAGTGAGTCGAGAAATATTGAAAATTAAATGGTGAACTATTATTTTTATCAAGAACATTCTATTTCTAATTAAATAATTTCTATTTCCAAGATATACTACTTTAAAATGACTGGGAAACACTGAAAATTGAAGGAGGCACTAATATTTTTCCGAACACGTTGATTTATAATTAAATGACTTCTTTTTAAAGTGTTTCCCACTTTAAAATGATTCAAAAAACATTGGAAATGGAAGGATGTACTATTCATGCGTTACTTACCATGGAAATGAATTTTCTCCACGAACGGATTGAACAGTCCTACCAGCGTAGTACCGATCATCTGTCTGACAAGATGGCGACGGTCGATGTCGCGGCGGGTCGTTGAAACGCCATTTGGGCCGCGCAATCGAAATTCACAATACGTCTTCAAACAGGGATATCGTATATTTCGATAAACTTCGACACTCTGACTATATTTAAGTCGCAAACCATAGCAGGAGAGCACTCTTGGTGACATCGCTCGGACCAACGCCTTCGTGACCAACTCGGTAATAGATCGTGGAGAAAATTGGTCTAACTGACCGAAAATTCGGTCATATTCGTCGATTCCCCTCGCGAATACCACGCATCGCGTTCACGTAGAATTTCTTTAACCCGGGTAAAGCATATAGGCGGTAACTTTGACGAAACACCATGTCTTGGCTGATGTTAGAGACCTTTGGGCTGGTCTGCACGGTATTTGTACTGCTGTATTATTATTCCTTGTCGAAATTGAATTACTGGCAAAGACGTGGCATCAAAGGGCCAAAGCCTCTTCCGTTTTTCGGAAATTTCAAGGATGTTCTGCTTGGAAAAATTTCGACCACCGACTGTTTCCACAAAGCGTACAACGAGTACAAGGATGAACCGCTGATCGGAGTCTATGGGGGCCACGATCCGTTGCTGATTGTGAAAGACCTGGACTTGGTAAAAGACGTTCTCATTAAAGATTTCTCCAAGTTTGCACACAGGACCCATCGTGCTGTACGAGAGGTACGTTAACAACATGTTTTCACTTTAAAAGTTAGCGATTTTGGTATACGGTTTTTGGTAGAATACGTAGAAAGGTGTCAACGTAGAACAAGTGCTTGAAACTTTGGAATAATGTACGTTCGTTGATATTTTCCGATAATATAAATTTATAAGTCTCCAAAGGCCTATATTTCAGGGATCCAATAATCGAGGAGTATTGAGAATAATATTAATAATTAATAATAAATTGTTAATAATAATAATTAATAATAAAATTGAATTTGGTTTTATCGTTAATATTGAAATTGTTTAATTGATTTGACGATATTATTGCTAATATTATTAATTATGGGTGAGTTCCTGTAGAGTTGTAATTTGCAGGCGAACTTTTTAAAGGTTCCAGAATGAATAGTGGCACTCGCAGAGTGCGAGAAGAAACTTTAAGATGATACTAAGAGCTAAAGTTAGGCGAACATCTAGATTAATAAAATTGTTTTCCGAAATTTTTTCGATTTCCAATTATAAATATTTATCGAATTCGTCAAATTATTTCCTATATTTTTGTTTACTGATTGCTATAGGATAGACGAAACTGCATTTGGAGATTTTAAAAATTTGTAATTATAAATATTTAGAGAATCATCGAAATTATGTATTTTTAAATATTTATTTATTCCTATATTATAGATCGGAAGTAAAGAATATAATTATTATCAAAAAATAATAAAACACGACTAGTTACCGATTTAAAAAGAAAAAAGGTAGTCAGTTTCCGAAGAAAATAATAAATGCAAAAATTTCTACGTTTATCGTTGTAGATGATCATACAACGTTTTGCATGAAAATAATAAAATGTTTCCTATATTTTTGTTTATTGATTGCTATAGGATAAATGAAACTGCATGTTTGATTATAAATATTTAAAGAATCAGCGAAATGATGCATTTCTTAAATATTTATTTATTTCCATATTATAGATCGGAAATAAAGAATATTATTATTGTCAAAAAATAATAAAATACAACTAGTTACTGATTTAGGACGATTAAAGGTAGTCAGTTTGCGAAGAAAATAATAAGTGATGTAGACGATCATACAACTCTTTGCATGAAAATAATAAAATAATAATCGTATCTACGTACACGGAAATATCCACAAGCGGATATCGAAAGCCGTCCTATGAGATTTTTGAGTGAAGAGAATTTTTGTTTACCACAGTATCCCGTAGGTAAACAGACCTGTCCACAAAAATAATCCATAGCCATACACGTCATGAATGTATACAAAAAGTCCACACTGCAAAATATATATAGAAAAATCGAAATACGTGACAAATATATACGAAAAAATTCTTAAATCTTCATAAAAAAAACTCATACATATCATGATCATTCGAAGAAAAATGAAATTGAATGACAAATTGAAAAAGAAGTTGAAATAAAATTTTAAATATTCCGAATTTATTTTTGCCAGAATACGTTTCAGTAAATAATGAAATTGAAAAAAGAGAGATAAATAATTCTCATCCAACGAAATTTTAGTGAAATAGAAATCACAAGAAATATAGCGTTTTACTTCAATTTTAATATTTTTGTATATTAGAATTTATTGCTTCGTAAATGTCTCGATAATTATAAAAATTGTAAGTCAAAAGTGGGAAAAATTTATATTAGAGCAAAATAAAATTCTGGCAAAATAGAATAGGATTATTTTTTGATTTGTGATATATTTGGAGCATGAAGCTTTTAATATTTCGAAGGGAAAAATATATGATTTTGACCACTTTCATGACCATTGGCATAAATTGTTATAAAATAAATGTATCGAGTCTTTCTTAAGTTTTAAAGCTTTATTAAATTATCTTTTTCTCTGTGGTTTACACTACTGGTGCTAGATGAAGACTATGTTGCAAATACGTTCGAATTTGTATTGACTTCTTTATTCTTCAGCTCACTTTTGTATTCCACCGATTTCAACTTTATTTTGTTTTTTAAATATAAATAATTGGAGTATGTTTTCTTCGAATATTCTTTCGTTTCCAACAACATTGTTTACGGGTGTTCTTATTGATTATTCACATGTGCAAGCTAGTGCTGGAGGAGACATTAATCCTTTTCACTCGAAAATCGCAAGACAGAATTCGATTGTCAGCATTCTTTTCCATAGCTTCTTCGAAATAAGCTGTCACTCACGCGTCATTGCTTCTTGACGATAACTATGCCTTCGACTCTCGATCTAGTTCACAATGGTCGATATGCATAGATCTTTTAGGCCTCGAGGGTATTTTGAACAATTCTTCAAATTTTTATAACTAAATAAATAAATAAAGCTTTTATTTCCGATATACAGTTTACAATTTAATTTTAAAGTTGCTTCCAGTATTTATCGAACAATCTGCGTCGAAATTTGGAAATGTCAATAGCTTATTTTTAAATAAATATTATAATTAATATTGATAATTTTGAATATTAAAGTTAAAAATTGCTTCCAATATTTATCCGACACTCCGTGTCGAAATTTGGAAATGTCAATAGCTTATTTTTAAATAAATATTATAATTAATATTGGCAATTTTGAATATTTTAATTGAAAGTTGCTTCCAGTGTTTATCGAACACTCTTTGACGAAATTTGAAGATGTTAATAGCTTATTTTTAAATGAATATTATAATTAAAATTGGTAATTTTTAAATAAACATTTTGATAGATGATTATATAATATTTCTTAGTACTAATAACAAATAATTATGCAGTAAATTATTTTGTAAATTATACATATATATAATGGTAAAATAAATCAAATGTCAAATGTCGAAATATTATTGGAATAATATAGTGGGAAGTTTCAAATTTATATGAAAATAATACATGTCATAATAGTTCGATTAGATAGTTGAAAAATAAATCCCACATGTAGTTTTATATGTGAAGTATCACGAACATCATTCTTTTTCTCCAATGACTTCTGATAAACTTTCGATAAAATAGCTATTTAAACACATTTTTCGTATTTATTAATATCTATTCTATTTTTCAGTATCATTCTCCAAAAACAGATTAAAATTATCAAATTCCCATCGGCAATTTTAGATTTAGAATATCATCAATTACATAGGATCATATCACCGAACTCTTACTTTTTCCAAAAATAATTTCCCTTAAAATAATAAAATTCCATAAAATATTTATTATTATTGAAAGTAATCAAGGGAAAATTAAACGGATTCCATTCGAGCCTGATTTACAATCATAATGCATGAAATGAACATCAGTTGGATACTCTGTAATAACTGCAGAGGTTATTATCATCTAAACCAACGTTTATTAGTAGAGATTCTAAAAGAGGCATTAAAAGTACTAATTGTTAAAAGGAAAAAAGAAATTCTTGATAGCTGTGCAATTTTGCGAGAGATAGCGATATAATCGTACATACAGAATTTTATAGAATGTGTAAAACTTTTGGGCTCTTGGGATACATTCTCGGGTTTTCTAATCCAGTTCTCATATTAAATGTAATACTTGGTTGGGAATTAAAATCAATCGAGGAAGTAAGATCACAAAAATTTTGAGAAATAAGAACCACTCTTGTATGCATAAATCACAATTATCATTTAAATTAATTAAGTAAATAAAAATGACCCTTTTTATATTTACATATATGAATTATTAAATATATAAATATTGCATATTAAATATGTGACTATATACAATAATGATTTTACAAATTAAGTAATTTTAATATTAAAGTTATATAGAATAAATTTTACCTGATTTTAATTACTACATTTTAATTACTTTATAAATTTTACATATAAATATTACCATATACAAATCTCTAAAGTCTATTTGAATTTATTTCCAAAATAATTCTAATTTGAATTACTATGTAAGAATGAAGTTCCTAATTAATATACAATACTTGCAATCAGTATACTGTTTTGAAAAATTATATAGGATATAAATTATATATAACTAAATTTTTAATATTAAATGTAGGAAATTGTATTTAATTATTTCCTTACTGTTTATTGAAAAATTTGTTGTACTATTAGAAGTGTGTACTTTTTAAATTCGTAATTAGTCCCTTTAATAATACCTGTAATAATAAAAATTATTTCACGTTGGTTTTAAGCAACGATTATTATTACAATTGATTTCCGCTTTTAAACAATTATCACGAATGCGTCAAAGATCAAGCAACTGTTCGATACGTAAATGTTAATAATTATCTTGAACAAAATACGTCGGTTAATTTAGCTGTCAATAAGTTACTGCTTGGAGATACTGGGAATGAATTCGTATCTTTATAGCAATTAACCCCTGTGTATACAAGCTTGTTCAGAGTTTTTTGTTTTTAATGACCACTGCGGGGAATCGGACATATCTGGTTTTACAATACTTATCAATTGCGACATTAGTACGATGTTAGTCATTACATAACATTTATTTGTATCAATATCTTGTGTAAGAGTTCCTTTTTCCTCATAATAAACTTTATCATTCACATTGTTATTAATTTATATTTTATATAGAGAATGCAACAGAATTTTATTGCTAGATCCCTTGGAATAGGAAATGCAATATAAATATATTGCTATATCAAAAATAGAAAATTCATTTTAATGTAGAAATATTTTATGTAAGATTTTATTATTGATTAAAATTTTATTAAAGTACAATTCTTATTAAATTTTTATTAAAAATATGGTTCTACGTTGCTTTTCCTTTTATAAATCATGAATTGATTTCCTCGATCGAATATTTCATATAAACAAAGAATTATATTGTTTAAAATATAGTAGTGTGACTATACACATATAAACATATTATATTACACAATCAGCAATTATCTATATATTAACACGTATATTTGTCTCATTCAATATTAATTAATAAATAAACAATGTATTAAAAATGTATTTAAAAATACTATCAAAAAATATTATAGCCTTGTTGAAGAAGTAATTCAAAACTCGACAAACAATTTGACAATATATATTCGAGCTTACAAAAATTCTAAATTAAATTAGCTCAGATTTTAATTAAAATTATCATATATCAGGACTTTAATTGTCTATTTCGTGCAAGATGCAACAAAAATTGTTGTCCAGACTGTACCGATACTAGCGCCACGCGCGTCTTTATTTGTCTACATCACAGTCGGCTAAACTTATTAAATTCTACGCTACAAATATCGAATATTATCCATGCTCTGTATGGACACGCGAAGTTTATTCGATTGTTTTAATATTTATCATCCTCATTTTCATAAAGACGTAATATTCTCTTAGAGGTAGGTCAGTACGCATCTGGATAAATCGGCCGTATTCATCCGATCCTTTACGTTGACGTAACCCATCTTAAGCTTCGTGGCTTAGAGAGCACCTACCACTTTACCTGAATACAAATTTCCCGTCTATCGTCTTCTGTTTTAAGAACGAGGCAGAGGGAAAGGGAAGTCACATTAGACCTGTTGAACATTCTCTAAAGTCTCTCTCCTGTAGCCACAAGATGGAGGAGCAGGAAGTTGTATACACACATAAGTGCCTCCTTCTGTGGTCACTATAACTCTGTGTTATCTTCTTATTCCTTATAGTGATATATTAATCTACATTTTGTGGAAATAAGCGTCTAGTATGAATATTTAGAGCAGAATGACAGAGTCTTGAATCACTAGAGATGCAACGCAGGCCTCGGTACTTAATACATGGAGGAGTATATGATGATTAAAAATTTAATGCAAATAATTTATAAATTAATTAGGCGAAAAGAGGGTTAAATTAATTTACTTTGGTCATTGACATAAAAGCTAAAGTGCTATGATAAAAATAAAAGAATTAACTGCACAAAATACAAAGTAGAGTAGAAATTTATACCAGATATAAGAGTGCTTTGGTACTAAAATTTAAATAATTTAGAAATTGGAGTTAATCTCTTTGGCTTTTGTCTCATATTATACTTCATTCTCTCGTTCAAAAATTAGATGATAGAAGCAAGCTGTAAACAGCATAAAAATTCTCAATTGGATCTCTTTCATTTAACATGTCTGCATATCGTAGCTTTTATTTCAGGAAAATAATACTCAATAAACAAATACCTAATTTCCCTTTCTTTTTCTCCTTTTCCATTTGTATATAAAATTGTTTCCAAATTTCTGTTGGATTTTTATCGTATTGGAAGTAGCTAATAAATAAGATTTCTGTAATTTTACAGGTTGAACCTCTGTCGGAGCAGTTATTCAGACTGGATGCAGAAAGATGGCGTGGCCTAAGAGTCAAGATGTCGACTTTCTTCTCGACAGGGAGACTAAAGGACATGTTCGACTTGATGAAACAGTGCTCGGAAGATTTCGATAAGTACCTGGAAAAGCTGGTAGATAAGGGTGAACCGGTCGAGTTTCGTAACACTGCAGCTAAATTCACCACTGCCGTGATCAGTGCTTGCGTCTTCAGTATCCAATCGAACTCTCTGTCTGACGAAGACTGTGAGTTTCGTAAAATGAGCAAGAAAGCCCTGAGTACGAACCTTTCGCAGTTCCTCAACGACAGAATGAGGGAATATCCATTCCTGTTTAAGATTTTTGGACGATTCTTTGTCGATCACGAAGTTACTAATTTCTTCTCGACTGCTGTCAAGGAGGCTATGGATTACAGGGATGATCACGATATTCATACACGGGATTTCATTGATATCTTGGCTGATGTGAGAGCTCACCCGGAGAAAGTTAATCTTAAAGGTATGGTTTTATTTTCTTGTGTAAGTATTCTTAAGATTTTTGAATTTGAGAATTGTAATAAGAAGTATAATTTTATAATTAATATTAATATTATAGTATT